ACCTTAGAAACTGAGATCTGTGAAGGAGTTGCACTTTTCGTGGCCAGTGTGCCACATTTCCTTTCTTCCTTTTGTCTCCGTTCTCTTTGGCCATCTGCTTTTGTAAGCACCTTACATCCTCATCCTGACTCACTTCAGCTGGAACATGGAAGTGATACATTCCTCTGAAACAGTAGTAAACACCTACATCTCACCGCTTCTCAAGTCAGAAGACACAGCATCTTTACTGTTGTATGTTTTAGGCAAATAACTGCCCCATTTGCCGAGCGCCTTTCCGGGCTTTGTTGCAAATTCGTGCACTCCAGAAGTCTGCTACAGTTCCTCAAGGGGCCATCTTACCTCCAGAGGTAACCAACGAGCTGGGACCTCAACAAGTTAGCGACCTTTATTATTTTTATGACTTAAAATTTGCATTCAGCTTCTTATATGTTTATTTCATACACGAGACAATAAAACTGCACAATGAATTACTGAAGTGTCAGAATTAAAGAAAAGTTGTTTTTAATAAAATGTATTCTCTGAAATACAATTCTAAAGACATAGTGTGCATATGTTTGCTCACATGTGCACCCATATATTTGTGTGTATATGTGAGTGGTAGAGAAATAGAAGTAACATGAAAATGCAGAGAAAACTTAACAGCTTCATAATTTTTTTATCCTCAATTTTTAATCAAATCAAAGAGGGTGGAGTGGATAGAATGTGTATCATACATGGGGTAAATGAGGAATGCACATACAGATTTTATTTGGAAAATCTGAAAGAAAGAGGCCACTTGGGAGACCTTTGTACTTGGAACAACAGAATTAAAACTAATCTGAAACAGGTGTGTGTAATGGATTCAACATATTTTAGATAAAGACCAGCAAAGGACTTGTGTGATCACAGAGGTAAGCATGTGGTTCCGTCATAAATGTGAACTGTCTTGATTGGCTGACTGACTAACAGTTTCTCAAGATGGATATCTTCTTGGAGGTAGATACTTGAAAAATTCTTATCAATTTAAATTTGGTTCCAGTCATTCCAACCAAGCATCATGTCTTGCTTTGTAGTTGTGAGACTCTGAGTTCAAATCTTGGCTAATATGAGTTAGTCTGGGTTAGTCTCTGCAACCTGGCGTGTGGTTGTTACTGTTACGTGTTCTTGTCATTATTACTCAGAACTAACTGGAATACACTGTAATGTTTGCGTTATTGTTTATTATCAATCGATAAGTGTGTCTACATACCCGCTGTTATCAAAAGTGTATGACGTCAACGTGGCATACCCACTTGTCTATTTATCTGTGATCTGAGACTTAAAATGAAGAGTATAGAACTTACAATGTTTTCAGTACAGGGAACATATCTACAGGAAGTTTGTTTTAATTCAACAGGGAAG